AAGGAAGGGGGAAAGCCTCTAAAGAATACTCAATACAATTTTGGAGAGGTAGTCCGTAATAAAATATTATTAAATGGAGTCCCATGGGTATGGGGTGCATGTTAGAATTTAGTTAATAATAAGCACTATTATTTGTAATTTTTCCCCTGTATTTTTGTTGTCACATATGTTTTTGGTGTGTGTTTTTTTTTGTATTATAAAATAAAAAAATAAAAAAGAACTTGTGTCTTTTACATAATACCAGTCAATGTTTTCATAATATTGACTGTGTCTGGTGTTTCGGAATATTAATAATATGCTAACCACTGGCTCGGTTGCCAGGTACCCAAACCACTACATAAGTTTTACCTGTCCTAAAAGATCACAGTTCTGCCTGTTTGAAAGGTGCTTCTTGAACCGCTAAGCTGCAGAAAAATGTTGGAACCTGACCCTGGATCCACCACCATAGTTACCTTTTTTGAATTCTTCAAGCGCAGCTCCTAATGAGGTGGTATTTGAAATGTAATGCACCGGGTGCTTGTGAAACTTGGTGATTGTCCTCAGCGGGGTGCAGTCATCAGGATCAACAAAGGCAAGATCCTTGACGAACAGCATGTCCACAATATTAGTTCTGTTCTTCCCCCTATAGACAGGGATACGGGTGTAGCCACTCTTCAGAATGTCTGTCATGGTGTCAAAATCAAGGGTGGCTTCTGTGTTGATCAAGAAGCAGTCCGGCAATGGGGTCATGACATCTTCCACCGTCTTCGTGCTCAGCTCCAGAGCTCCTTTGATGATGTTCAGCTCTTCGTTACCGAGGCCTGTGGAGGGCTGAGTCACCCTCAACATATCCAGCAATTTCTCTCGGGTGTAGGCAGTGCCTATTTCTTTACCAAATATGCGGTCCAAGATTTTACTGAGAGGATAAGAGACTGGGTATGTCAGCCACATGACAAGCCGGGTAATGAAGGTGGTCTTCGCGCTCATGGCCAAGCCATGGCGGCAGCAGAGAGCCTGTGGGATGATCCCCCCCCAACAGGACGATGGCAAAAGTTGAGATGCCAATAGCCACCATGCTGGCTCCAACCAGAAAGTCAAACGATATGGAGAAACAGTTGTTGACTAAGACATTAGCGATCAGCAAAGAGCACAGCAGGTAATTGCCCTTCTCGCGGAGGGGCAGAATTCTGGAAGCGTATCTCTTCTCCTTGTCCGTGCCAGCGTTCTGCAAAATGCGCAGTTCATGGGGATTCAGAGACATCAGGCCTACGCTGAGGCCGCTGAAGATGCCTGAGAGTCCCAGACATATCATGAGTAAAATAATACGAAGTTCGAGAGGAAGGCCCAATTTCTCTTCCTTCACTACACGGAGGAACAAATCGTGGTCCCCATGTTGATGCTGTGGCTGCTCAGGATTGTCCGCAACGCACAGCACATAGTCCTTGTGGTGGATTTCCTTTCGCAGAGTCTGGACAATCACAGGCAGCACTGCAGTTCTTCCTCATACCTTTAAAGCATATGGAAGCACCCGCAAGTCACTGGTCTTTTCCCAGCAGGTGTCTTTGTGAGGAACGCCAGCGGTTGTTTCTGAGGCCAGCATCTCCCCAAAATAGACAGACTGCCAGATGAACTCATTGATACCTCGCCCATAGATTCGAAGATGGATTCTGCTTCCTTCTACCACTTGAACGATGTCATTTTCTAAGTTGGCAGCCCCTGGCTTGGTGCTGTTCTCCAACTTCATGCCTATGATCACTGTATTATTAGAGCTAGCACTAGCTAGCAATGGGAAAGTGAGCAGAAACAAGAATATCTTCATCTTGCCTTCTTCCTAGGCACAAAATCAAAACCTTTCTTCCATCAGTGTTCCCTGAAAACTATATTTAGTCTGTGCATCTCCTTACTTGAAGGTCTGCTCATAACAGACTGGGCAAACACGTGTCATAAACCCATTTCCTGTGGGGAGCACACCCCCCCCTTATTTGGCATGCTACATGTGCTGGCTGGCAATGACATTGAGAGGAAGAAGGGACTAAAATCCTAAATTTATTTATGTACTATAATCTAGCCAGAAGCTACCTAGCTTTGGGTAAAAGGGCATGGAATGGGGCTTACGTGTGACCCCCCCCATCACCCACTGAGCACTTCGCACATACTGTCTGTATAGGTTTACAAACTCTCACTCTCCTCCCCACAGAAGATGCCTTGCTGGCATCTTCAAAATGTCTTCCCCCCCTCACCCTTTGCCCTTCCCATAACGTTTCTAACAGATTCTTCGAAAGTAACCCTCTCATCGCCTCCTTCTATTCCCTCTTAACCAACCAACACCAGGATGTGTATATACTTTCCACTAGCCATTCCACAGCTTTCAGTCACTTGCCAGATCTGCCAAACACAATACTTGCTGTGTTATAATAAAATGTAACACAGAAACACCAAATGTTGAACAACTTGAGTAATATTACACTCCATCCAAGCACGACGGTAGGGTACTTAGAATGCTCTTGGAAAGATCTAGTGCTTTACTTTGGTGGAATGTGCTAAATGCCTCACCAAACGACAAACCCTAGGATGGCAAAAGG